GCTCAGTTCCGCCAGCCCCTGAGAGACAGGCGGCGGCAGCAACGACAGCAGGCGGCAGCTCCCCGGGAGGCAGGCAGCTCCCAGACAGGTGGGTGGGGGTGGGGAGATGGCACGAAGGGCGGGGGCTGGCCGACTGTTGGCATGGGCTTTCTGGGGATGGGTAAACTACACTTTAACAAAAGGGTTAAGTCCTGCCCGGAGGACCCTGCAAACCCAGGTCCACCAAGAAGCTCTGCTTTGGAAGAGGGGGTTGGGTTTCTAGCTAACACCTCTGCACCCCTCCATCCCTCCCTGTCTCCCACAGAGTCCCATCTGCAGCACCCTTCCCCCACCCGCCCGCTTCAGCGCCAGACCACTTGGGCTGGGCGAAGTCTGCGGGACCCGGCCTCACCCACTGGGCGCCTGGTAAAGAGCGGCAGCCTGGGCAGTGCCAGAGGGGCACAGCCCACTGTGGAGGCTGGCGTGGCCCACAGTGAGTGCCCTTGTCTGCCCGCCCTGCTGTCCCTGGTTAGGTCTCCTAACCACCTGCCCCAAAGAGGGGAAGAGCAGGGCCGGGTGGAAGGGTGGCACTTGGTGGTACGGACTGTAGACTCTGAGGGGACCTTGCCCAGAACGTCGAGTTCATGGAGGGGCTGTGGAGCCGGAGTTTGTGTGCCCAGGAGTTGTGTTTGCTCAGGAAGGAGCAGCTGGGGGAGAGGCAGGGCTCCACCTTCCTCTGTTCTCTGATTCTCTTTTGTCCTGCAGTGATAGAGGCTTTGGGAGTCTTGGAGCCCCGGGGATCACCTGTGCCCTGGCACGACGGGAGTCTTTCAGACCTGAGCCTGACAGGGGAGGAGCTGGCACCTGGGGGCAGCCCAGGGGGCTCGAGCTCGGCCCTAAGTGCACAGTCCACAGAAGCCCTGGAAGGGCTGAGTGGACGAGGCCCTAAGGCTGGCGGGAGCCAGGATGAGGTGGGCACTCCCCGACGAGGGCTGGGCGCTCGCCTCCAGCAGCTGCTCACTCCTTCCCGCCGCTCCCCTGCCTCCCACGTCCCCCTGCCGGAGCTGCCGCCTGACCTGCCTGCCCCGGCTCGCTGCAGCCCCAGGGACAGCCTCCTGCGGCCCCGGGAGCGCCCTGGATCCACTGCCTCTGAGGTAGCCTGTACAGGGAGGTCCGGGAGCCCTGGGGAGGGCTGCTAACTAGGGGCTGCCAGGGTGGGGGCCCTGAGGGACCCAAGGGGCTGCCGGAACCAGCATCCTGGGTGGAGAAGAGCACGGAGCTGTTGACTGAGCTTTCTCATGTCATAGCAGAGCTCGGCTTCTCTGGGCAGTGAGTGGGACCTCTCAGAGTCTTCTGTCAGCAGCCTGAGCCTGCGTCGGTCCTCAGAGCGCCTCAGTGACACGCCTGGATCCTTCCAGCCTCCCTCCCTGGAAGTGAGGATAACTTGTACACTGCGGGCTGTCGGAGGAAATGGGGGAGGGAGGGGGAAGGAGGCCTGGCTGGGCTTTAGGGATGGGAGAAGGGCTTGCGGAGGGGCTGTGGAGGCTGGCTGGACCTACTCGCTGCCATCTCCTTTCCTGTAGATTCTGCTGTCCAGCTGCTCCCTGTGCCGCGCCTGTGACTCGCTGGTGTACGATGAAGAGATCATGGCTGGCTGGGCACCTGATGACTCCAACCTCAACACAACCTGTCCCTTCTGCGCCTGCCCCTTTGTGCCTCTGCTCAGTGTCCAGACCCTTGATTCCCGACCCAGGTGCCCACAGCAGGGCCACGCTGAGGGTGGGACAGGTAGGGGGTGGTCCAAGAGCTGACCCCTCTGCTGTCCCCCTGCAGCGCCCCCAGCCCCAAGTCTGCCCCTGCTGGTGCCAGTGGCAGCAAAGATGCTCCTGTTCCTGGAGGTCCTGGCCCTGTGCTGAGTGACCGCAGGCTCTGCCTCGCCCTGGACGAGCCCCAGCTCTGCAATGGGCACATGGGGGTAAGGGCTGGGTTATGGGGGGGTAAGGAATGGGAGTATGTGGCCCTTTGAGCGGAGCTACAGGGGCCAGAAGATGGGCACTGAGGACAAGGGGCATCCCGGGAGGTGCTGGACCCGACAGCTGCGTGGGGCAGGCTCTGAAAATGGGCCCACGGTACATGTCCCTCTGCTGTGTGCCTGACAGGGTGCCCCCCGGCGGGTCGAGAGTGGGGCGTGGGCATACCTGAGCCCCCTGGTGCTGCGTAAGGAGCTGGAGTCACTGGTAGAGAACGAGGGCAGTGAGGTGCTGGCATTGCCTGAGCTGCCTGCTGCCCACCCCATCATCTTCTGGAACCTTCTGTGGTATTTCCAGCGGCTGCGCCTGCCTAGTATTCTACCAGGCCTGGTGCTGGCCTCCTGCGATGGGCCCCCACCCGCCCAGGTGAGTGTCCCCACACGGCCTCTGCTTCCTCAGGGCCGTCTCCCTGTCTCTCAGCTCTTGGTCTCTTAGTCCTGAGTGTCCCTGGCAGTGTAGACAGAGCCCCGGCTGTGGGGGCTGTTGTGCCTGATGTGACTGTGGCCCTTGAGCTCCAGCACTCAGCCTCAGCTGTCATCTGTAAAATGGCCCAAGTGCTGACTGCACAGCGCTGCCACACAGACACCATGTGTAATGCCTGGTGCCTACAGAACGACACATGAATGTCTGTTCATCCCACCAGTTCTTCGTGGAGCATCTTTTAGGATCCAGGCAATTTTCAGGGACTAGGGGTGTGGCGGATTCTAAGACAAAGTCCTTGTTCTTACGAGCTCACATTGTCCTTTCCCTCGTCTCCTTTGCTGTGTGCTGTAATGTCCGTCTGTCTCGGGACATCACCTCTCCCTTTCTGTCCTCTGCCCCCAACTCTGTGAGCCGGTCCTCCCTCTCTACTCCCGCAGGTCCCATCTCCTTGGCTCACCCCTGACCCAGCCTCTGTGCAGGTGCGGCTGCTGTGGGATGTTCTGACTCCAGACCCCAACAGCTGCCCACCCCTGTATGTGCTCTGGAGGCTCCACAGTGAGTCTGGTGTTTGGCCTAACAATGGGAGGGGTGGGTCCCATGCCTGGAGGGCTCAGGAATCCTGGTGACCTTCTTTCCTTCCCAGGCCAGATCCCACAGCGGGTGGTCTGGCCAGGCCCAGTACCCATGTGTCTTAGCTTGGCATTGTTGGAGTCAGTGCTGCGCCATGTCGGACTCAATGAGGTGCACAAAGCCGTGGGGCTCCTCCTGGAAACTCTGGGGCCCCCTGGCACTGGCCTGCACCTGCAGAGGTATGACGCTCCTGTCTGGGTGCTCCCTGACCTATCCTGGGCTTCAGACTCTCCCGTCACTAACACTTCTGACTCTGCAGGAGCATCTACCGCGAGATCTTGTTCCTGACATTGGCTGCTCTGGGCAAGGACCACGTGGACATAGGTGAGGGAGCAGGCAGAGGCTAGGGAGTCTAGGGACTTGGGCCAGGTGTGAGAGGCCAGCGTCCTAATGCATCGGCTTCCATTCTCTCCCCTAGTGGCCTTTGACAAGAAGTACAAGTCTGCCTTCAACAAGCTGGCCAGCAGCATGGGCAAGGAGGAGCTGAGGCAGCGGCGGGCACAGATGCCCACTCCTAAGGCCATTGACTGCCGGAAATGTTTTGGAGCGCCTCTGGAGTGCTAGGGACCCTCCGGCTTCCCTCTCCAGCCTGGGCGGGGCGCTGAGGAGAAAGGAATCCAGGGATTACAGGATTTCTTGTCCCCTTCACGGAGGAGTGGGGAGCAGGCTGGGAAGCCTGTTCAGCCCCAGGCCCCAAGCGTGGGCAGCAGGGAGAAGGACCCACTGTTACCAAAAGTCACAATTCGCTATCTCCAGCCTGCCCAATTTGTTCATGCTGAGGTTGGGGGAGCTGTACAGCTCTGTCCCTCCCCTGTTCTATTCCAGGAACTGCTCTCCAGGGTACCCACAGATCTGCACTGCCCTGGTCATTTTAGAAGTTTTTGTTTTAAAAAACAACTGGAAAGATACAGAGCTGCTGAGCCTTCTCCGTGCACGGGAGCAAGGAATCTCATTCCCCACCAGTGATGGTCCCTCATCCCTGCATTGCTGAAGGAGCCCACGGCTCTCCATGCCTTTCTACCTTAGTGTTTGTATTTTATTTTAAATTATTTATTCTGGAGCCATAGCCCCCTTGCTTCTGAGGTTTTTACAGAGTAAGAAAGAGAGGGAGGTGGGGCACCATGGTTTGTTGCTCTTCGCAAGCCGGGCAGCAAGAGCCAGAGGGCTTGCGAGCTCTCCTCGGGAAGAATTGGTGCCTCTTCAGTCCTTCCTGTCCACCCACCCAGGACAATTGCCCTGACCAGTGCAATAAGGATTGTTCCCTGTGAAATTTTGCTGGATGTAAATATAGTAAAAGCTGCTTCTGTCTTTTTCTTTCTGCCTCTTGTTCCTTGGGCCTGGGGTAACAGTGAGGGTTTGGGGGGGCTCTCCTTTTCTCCTGGCTGCACATCCTCTTTGCCAGCGTCTCGTCCTTTGCAGCCTTCAGGTACGCTTTGCTTTGCTGATCATGTGTGGTCCCAGCCCCTTGGGGCAGAGGGAGTTCTTGGAGCAGGAGGGGTGAATTTGGTACTGACTGTGGCAGTGCCAGTCTGTGTGGGACTTTTGGTCCTCCCACACAATCACCCCCTTGTCCCACATCTGTACCCCATACAAAGGCTCCATTCTCCAGGGCCCCTGAGCTCATCTTTGCCTTATTTCCTCCCCTTTGGTGTCCCCCACAACTATCCAGCACCTCCACAGAGATGACAACGGTCTCCCCAGGAGCTGGTGTTGGGGGCCTTCACGTATCTGGGGGGCCCAGGCCATCACCCTTGGCCTCCTCCACACTCTGGCTGCAGATGGTTCTCGTCCACCCAGTGTCTCAGGCTGGGAGTAACACTGAGAGGAACGGGGCAGGGAGCGAGAGGCCTGCTGCGTGTGAACCTCGGGGAGATGGGCGTCATTTCTCCAATCCCTTTGGCCCACTTGAAGTTCTCCTTTTCCCCTGCATAATGAAATCAACACAGGAAACAACTCCTAACAGAGCTGCAAAACCAATTACTGAAGGGAATTAGCTAACAACAGAAACGCCTTGGGGAAGGAGGGTGGAAGTATCGATGAAGCAGATGGCGCACAGGAACTTTTAGTGCCAATCCCGGGGGTAGGGTGGTTCCCGGATGAAGAGAGAGGTCCTACTGATTGCTGAGGTCTTCAAGCGAAAGACCCTTCCCCACCGGCACTTGAGCATGGTAGAATGCTCTCCCAGAGCCCTGAAGGTGCTGCAAAGAAACCGTGGGGCTCAGGAAATGCTACTCACCTGCCTTGCTAGGAGATACACTCTTCGGAAGTGACCCCCATATCACCCAGCTTCTGATCACACCTCACTCGCCAGCCTCAGCCTCCATCTCATCCCCAGGGGGCTCCGCCATCTTCCTCCCTTTCCTCTCTTCCTCCTCCTCTTCTCCCTCTTTTCCTCCTCTCTTCTTTTTTCCTTCCTTCCTTTTTACCTTTTTCTTCCTTTTATCTTTTTTTCTTCTCTTCTTTATCTTTTTTCTTTTTTCTTCTTTCCTTTCTCTTCCCTTTTTCTTTCCCTTCCCCTCTTTCTCTCTCTCTCTTTTTTTTTTTTTTTTTTTTTTGAGACAGGGGGTCTCATTATGTAGTTCAGACTGTCCCTGAATTCACTATGTAGCCCACACTGGCCTTAAACTCACAGTGATCCTCCTGCCTTAGCCTGCTAAGGGGTGGGATTACAGATAAGCACCACCACACCTGCCTAGCTTGCTTTTTCTTTTCTTTTCTTTCCTTTTCTTTTTTTTCTTTTCTTTTCTTTCTTTTTCTTTCTTTCTTTCCTTCTTTCTTTCCTCCCCTCCGTCTCCCTCCTTCCTTCCCTTCTTCCCTCCCTCCTTCCTTCCTTCCCTTCCTTCCTTCTTTCCTTCCTTCCTTCCTTCCTTCCTTCCTTCCTTCCTTCCTTCCTTGCAGTACTAGGGACTGAACCCAAGCCCTTTGGACTGAACTACATCCCCCAGCCCTTTTTTATTTTTTATTTAGAGACAGGGTCTTACTAAGTTGCTAAACTGCCTGGATAGGACTTGAACTTGGGATCCTCCTGCCTCAGCCTCCCAGAGTGCTGGAATTATAGGTGTCTGTGACTGTGCTTGGCCCTCAGGGGTCTTTTCCAAGGGACAATCTGCCTTGTTTTCCCCCCTCAGTGCCAGGGATCAAACCCAGAGCCTTGTGCAAGCATTATATCACTGAGCTACACCTCCAGTCCATGATGGACCTGCTCTTAAAAATAAATTTATTTTGTTTTGTCTTTTTGAGACAGGGTCTCACTAGGCAGTTCAAGCTGGCCTTGAACTACATGTGGCCTCGGGTGCCCTGGAACTTGAGGCAATCCTCCTGGCTCAGCCTCCTGCATGCTGGGATTATAGGTGTGCAGCCATGCCCGTCTTAGTTTCAGTCGTGTGTAGTGTGCTCAGCACTGGCCTGAATTATAGTAAGAACTTTAGGGTTCAGTCCCTACCCCAGTAGAGTGGGTCTAGAGTCCACTTTGGTTCACAAAGCTACTGATAACTCTGCCTTTCAGCTTTTGCTTCTCAGTTTTGGGGCTTCCTTTCAAAACCCTACAGTCAGCCAGCCATGGTGGTGCACACCTGTAATCCCAGCACTTGGGAGGCTGAGGCAGGAGGATTGCTGCAAGTTTGAGATCAGCCTGGGCTACATGGTGAGTTCAAGGCCAGCCTGAACTGCCTAGTGAGACCCTGTCTCAAAAAAGACAAACAAGGGCTGGGGATGTAGCTCAGCGGTACAAGCACCAGCCTGGCAAGCACAAGGTCCTGAGTTCAATTCCCGGTACCCCCCCAAAAAAAAACAAAAACAAAAAACCCTACAGGGGACAGGGATATAGTTCAGTGGCACAGTGTCTGCCTGGCAAGTGTAAGGTCCTGAGTTCAATTCTGGGTACAAAAAAAAAAAAAAAAAAAAAAAAAAAAAGTATCTGGGAACTAGGAATGGTGGCACCTACAATCCCATTACTCTGGAAGGCTGAGACAGAAGAATGGCAAGTTCAAGCCCAGCCTGGGCAACTTAGTGAGTTAGTAAGACCCTACCTCAAAATAAAACAGAAAACAAAACAAAAAGGTGCTGGAGATGTAGCTCAGTATGAAGGCCCTGGGTTCGATCTCCCAAACCACAAAAAAAAAAAAAAAGAAAAAGAAAAATCTGGGAATTCCAATAGCAAAGTATGCAACGTGACAGCTGACATCTGTCCTGTGGCCTAGGGAGTGTATGAGGGCAGGATAGGCCCAAACAGAGTGGACCCTTGATTTAGGAACTCACTTTGTTCCCGAGGGTTGGCTGTAACTGAAGTTGTGGATTGAAGGCTCCGGTTCCTCTACATGGCCTTCGAAGTCTCTCACCTGTATACAGGCAGATCTCAGTGACCATAGACAGACATTGGCCCGGGATTTTTCAATTAACCTTACACAGGAAAGGGTGTTGTCATGTTCCTTCCAGAACTCTTTAAGGGTTAAATCTTTTTTTTTTTTTTGGTTTTTCTCCGGTACCGGGAACCGAACTCACGACCTTGCGCTTGCCAGGCAGGCGCTTTTGCCGCTGAGCTAAATCCCCAGCCCCAAGGGTTAAATCTGTATCTGAGACCATCTGGAAGCACAAGCAGCCAGCATTCAGGTCATAACTCAAGACTTTGGTCATAAGTTAAAACTAAAATTCTGATCGTAACCCAAGTTGTTCATATGTCTGGCCAGTTGTAACTTGAGGGTCCACGGTACCCTGGCTTAATTTCTTTTCCCAGTAGAGTGTACAGATTCAGTTATAACAAACATGAGTGAAACTGTGCCTCTGCCACTTACTAATTTAAGGATGTCAGACAGGTTACTTAACAGTTGTGCCTCAGTTTTTCCTCATCTCCAAGTGGGAGTTCATATAAAGATTATACAGTCCATTTGAAATGCTAAGCACATACATATATCCTGCTTTAGAAAGGAAACAAGTTGAGCCTGCATAGGGCAGAGGTCATGTACTCGCTACAATCTTGCTCTCAACCCCTCTTTCTTAGTGCATGACCATACAGCGTAGGCCTCACCTGTCCTCCCGAGAGCTTGATCATTCCTGACTGAAAGTTCCTCTTCAAGGCTGGAGTTTGAATCTGTTGGAAGACATTTTCTCAGATCTTGCAGTGTCTTCTTCACTGCAAGGTATCTTCCACTATCTTCTGGTATCTTCCACTACTACTTCTTATGTTTTCTCAAAGGCAAGAAGGATGGCTTTTATCCAGCAAAGGATTTGTTTGGGCTGACGATGGACAAAGCAATAGCTTAGGAAAAGAGGAACGTACATGCTGTGACTGTGACAGCTTTGTCCCAGTCACTGCTATATCCCCAGCACATGAAGAATGCCTGATAACATAAGAAGTGCAAGCCAGGCATGGTGGTACATCCCATGCACTTGGGATGCTGAAGCAGGAAGATTGCTGCAAGTTTGAGGCCAGGTTGGGCTACATGCATAGTGAGACCCAGTCTCAAATAACACAAAATTATATTCAGGAACTGAAAAGCCCACACAGTAGTGGTGCACACCTATAATTCTAGCACTCTGAGAGTCCGAGGCAGGAGGACTGAAATTTGAGCTTAGCCTGAGCAATTTAGTGGCTTAGTGAGATCCTGTCTCTAAATAAAAAATAAAAACAGGGCTGGGGATTAGACTCATTGAGAAGGCCTTAGGTTCTCCAGTTCTGGGGGAGGAGGGGAAGGACTGAAAGGAGCATTGACATGATGAAGTTTGAGAAATAATTTTCAACGTGGTACAGGATAAGAACAATGTGTTGAATACTAAAATAAGCTGAATTTAGGGGCTAGGGATGGAGCTCAGTGGTAGAGTGCTTGCCTAGCATGCACAAGTCCCTGAGTTCAAACCCCAGGACTGCAACAACAACAACAACAACAAAAGATAAAGAGAGTATTTCGGGGCTGGGGATTTAGCTCAGTGGCACAGCGCCTGACTGGCAAGCACGAGGTCATGAGTTTGATTCCCGGTACCAGAAAAAAAAAAAAAGGTTAATTTACAGCTAAGAGGGTGAAATTATTGAAAAAGCAAGGAAATTATTGGGAAATCAAGGGAAATGTTCATAATGGTTAGTTTATTATGTTTACTGAATGCTTACTTCCCTTATACATTTAAAATATACTAGGGCTAGAGATGTATAGCTCAATGGTAGCGTACTTGCCTAGGGTGTGCAAGACCCTGGGCTTAATCCCTAGCACTGCAAAAATAAATAAAATATGTTTACAATCCTCATGATTATCCTATGAGGTGGTACTCTCAATGTTTCTCTTTTACAGATGGGGAAACTAGGGCATAGAAAACAGGAATTAAATTTGTATCCAAATAATACAAATTAAATTTGTATCCAAATAATACATAAGAAATAGAGCCAAAGCTCAGTATCATAGTGTACACTTGCAATTCCAGCACTGAGGATTGAGGGAGGCTGAGCGAGAAGTTCAAATCCTGCCAGAGCAATGTAGGGAGACCCTGTCTCAAAATAAGAAAATAGAAGCAGGGCATGGTGGCACACGCCTGTAATCCCAGAACTCAGGAGGCTGAGGCAGGAGGATCACTGTGAGTTTGAGGCTAGCCTATGCTACAAAGTGAATTTAAGTCCCAGCCTGAACTGCATAGTGAAACCCTATCTAAAAAAAAAAAAAAAAAAAAAAAAAAAAATAGAAGGGGCTGAGAATATAGCTCAGTCTAGAGAGTCCCTGGGTTTGATGCCCAGTACCACAAAACAAATGAACAAAGCCAAGATCAAACTGTAGCACTTCACTCCAGAGACCACATTCTTTACATGGCCTATACTAGCATAGAAACTATGTATTTATTTAGTATTACGGTTGGACCCAGGGGTTTGCATTGAGCTACACCACCACCCCCGCCTTTAATTTTTATTTTGTGACAGAATCTAAGTCAGTCAATTGCCCAGGCTGGGTTTGTAGTTGCAGTCTTACTGCCTCAGCCTCCCAATGTTGTGTGTGTGTGTGTGTGTGTGTGTGTGTATTCATCTCTTTTTCATTTGTTTTTCTGCCTAAATCTTTTTCTTTCTTTCTTTTTTTTTTTTTGTGGGAGGGTTGTGTTGGAGACTGGAACCATTTACCTACTTTTTTTGTGGTCATGTCTTCCATTCCCTGCACAGCATGACTTCTATTTTTTTTTTTTTTTTTTTTTTTTTTTTTTTTTTGGTTTTTCTCTGGTACCGGGAACCGAACTCACGACCTTGCGCTTGCCAGGCAGGCGCTT